TGTTGATGCAGGCCAACAGTATCGGCTTTGCATTGCAGCCGTGGTTCCCTCTTCACCATTAGCCGCCCGGCCAATGGCCGTTTGGCGGCCGGCAAAATCCTTCAGCATTCCGGGTGGACGCCATATGGCGTCTTCCCGGGCATGCGCAGTTTGCGCGCCTGCAGAGCCGCACAGCGGCGCGATCTGTCACCGGCCGCGTACCTCGGGCACTGCCAATGACAGATCTGAGTACCAGCCCCGTTGCTGGAACCATGTGACCTACTGTGACCAATCACAGCAGGTCACATGACCGTTCTATACAATGGGTGGCTTCATTCATGCCATCCATTGTATACTAGTGTGCTTAGCTGTGAATGGTCACAGCGATCACATGCACAAGCTGGGCCAATCACAGCCCAGCTGTGTCATGTGATTAGCCGTGGCCAAATCACAGTTAAGCACGAAAAAAAAAAAGCCTTGAATGAATCTGTCATTCAAGTAAATGCTTGCTTATAGCAAAGTAATTCTTTGCTATAAGCAAATTGTGTTAAAAAAAAAAAAAAAACAAAACTGATCACTTCCCCAAAGTAGTACAATGTTACTATGGTCAAAGTGAAATATGAAAAAAAATCTTTAAAGAAGAGTAAAAAATTAAAAACAAATTTAAATTTTTTTTTTTCATACTGTCACCAATCAGTGTCCCTGATCACTGCCATGCCAGTTATGATGACGCTGTACTGCACTGTTGACAGTATGTGGAAAAAAAAATTGTGAAAATCATTTTTTTTACTTTTCATTTTCCGAAGAATTATGACAAATACAACTTCAAAAAACTTGCCATGCCTCTTATGAAGTACGTTGGACGGTCTACTTTGCAAAAAGGGGTCATTTGGGGAATATCTGCACTGTTCTGACATTCTTGGACCTCAAGAAATTAGATTGGCTGTCAGTACTTCAGGATTGATCAATATTCAGATCTATACCATAGTTTGTGAACTCTATAACTTTCCTACAGACTAAATAATACATCCTAATTTGGGTTATTTTCACCAAAGACATGTAGCAGAATACATCTCGGCCTAAATTTATGAAGAACAATTATTTATTTGCAAACTTTTATAACCTAAACAGCGTGTTGTGTTTTTCTTTTTTCTCAATTTTCAGTTTTTTTTTTTTCTTCAGCAAAAAATAAAAACCCCAGTGGTGATTAAATCCCACCAAAAGAAAGCGCTGGTTGGTGTGAAAAAAATAAAATTTTAGTCTGGTTACAGTGTTGTATGGCCGCACATTTGTCATTCAAAGTGTGAGAGCGCTGAAACCTGAAAAATGGCCTGGGCAGGAAGGGGGTAAAAGTGCCCGGTATGGAAATGGTTTAAATACATGCCTAGGCAATGGGTTTACTTTAGTGCTCTTTTCTCCTGCAACATTCACTTGTCAACCAGTCTTTCCCTCTGTTCTTTTCATCTCCTGAAAGCAGAAAGATGCTCGCTATTTCTTGGGCATAGAGGAGCATGTCATTCACTCCATGTGATGACACTGGTGCCTTGCCCAAGTATTTTTGCCTGTGATTGGGAGGAACCACGGCCCTTTTAAAGCCAAGTGGGGTGATTTGGCGCTTACCCAGGGCTGTTTTGCCTTAGCAGTTGGGGAAGGAGGCGTTTAAAATGAACCTGTTTGCTGTGGTTTCAGATGTGTAGATTTGAGATGGTTTTGTTTATTGGCTAATCCACTTTTAATCTACATATCATCATAGGTGTGTCCCCCCCCCCCCCCCCCCCCCCCTTTTCCCCCATGAGGTATTCCATTATATCGAATTATTTTCTGCTGTACAATAAATGTTTGTTTTTGGCGTTCATACCACTGTAATATCCTTTTGGTAAAGGGGAATCCTGATTCCAAATAGTTGTAGTATAGTGTTTTTTTAAAATTTCTCTATGGATCTTGTGGTTTTATATCTACATGTAAGACACCCGTTTGCTAATTAAATGTTCTTGCATGGCAAGACCACTTACGGTTATCTCACATATATATTCTTATTATAGCCAAGTTTACCACTCTAACTCCTCCCACAGTTTTTACACTACATAGACAGTAATATACCGATACGTGCGGATTGTTCCCGATTGGTGTGCTATTACTTTGTGGAACGTTTCGCAGAATGGTTCACGAAATATCGGCGTTTTTGTGGTGGTGAAATTGGTCCCATAGGAATGAATGGCGGAATGTTCAAAACTAGAGTGGGAGCTGACAAAAGCTAGAGTGTGAGATGAAAAATCAGGACATGATTTCTAAACTGCCATCACTCCCTCATTTTCAAGCCCACCTACACAATATCAAAACCGTTCAGCTATCCCTGCTGCCACTAAAAATGTCCACGGCTAAGCCATAGTCCTGATAGTTTTCACAATATGACCATTTGTTTGCAAGTCATGCCGCCCATTGACATTCATTGAAACTGCACTCTAGACACCTCAAATTTGAAGGGCAATTTCTAAACTGCGACCACTCCAGTTGTAGACTACTGGTGGAGGCAAGAACACTTCACACAATTTTTCCCCAGAAAGTGTAGCTTTTCTAGTTGCATATATAGACTTTCTGCTCGGGGCTGCTTCACAATGTTGTGCCTTGCTGATCTTATCTAACTGCAAGTTGGTGAATCATGTAAATATAAAATTTAAAAATAGGTGCTTATTGAAGGCCAACTGAAGTTGCACAGATTTGCAACTAGGTTGACATTGTACCCTGGCTTTAGTTTCAGTCCTCATGCACACTGGACATTTTTACAGCTGCTGTTTTTAGGCTTTTGAAGTTTTTTTAGCTGTAAAACCACTAACGCTGAAAAATGCTGTAAGTTACAGCAAACCAGCATTTTTGGACTTTTTTTGACCAAACTCAAAATTGCTAAAAACTAGGGATGCACCAAAATATCAGCCGAAAATAGCCCTGTCAGTGCCGGTTTTTAAATGTACTTACCGGCTTTTTTTTTTTTTTTTTTCTTTACTATAGCTCACAGAATTAGCGGTCACTTTCCCACCAGCTAAAATAAAGTTTCCTTTTAGTTTATTTCTCCGAGTTTAAGAGAAACGGTTTCCTTTAGTTCCCGGGAAATTGACCGCTAATTCTGTGAGCTATAGTGAAGAAAAAAAGTGACAGCCAGTGAGGGAGCCTCTGTCCCCCCCTACAAAGAGGACCTGCCACTCATATGCTGTCACATAGGGGACTATTGGTCCCCATGTGATAGCAATGGTTAAAAAAAAAAAAAAATATATATCTATATATCTATATATATCTCTATATCTATATCTATCTCTCTCTCTCTCATCGCTATCACATAGGGGACCAATAGTCCCCTATGTGGCCGGTCCTTTTTGTAGGGGGGAGGGGGCAGGAGAGGAGCTGTGTATACACTGAGGGATAAGTGTAGATAGAGGCTCCCTCACTGGCTGTCACTGATATATGTATGTATAAAAATTGGAGCCTCCCCCACATACGCAGATGTTTTGGTTTTTGGCCACATGCATTCTGAATTTTCAGTATCTGTTTCGGCACTAGAATTTTCATTTCGGTGCAACACTACTAAAAACCGCAAACATTGCTAGACGCTAATACAAAACCGCTGCAAAACCCACGTTTTTTTTACGTGACTTTATACAGCTAACATTACCAGTGTTATTTAAACACCCAGAGTGCATGGAGCCGTATAGTCATGCCTCTGCTTTCCTTTTTACAGCAGTGCTGCTTTTTCTGACTGGAAAGTCCAAAAGAACACCAGCATTAGACACACTGCTGTAATCACCACTTACTAGCAGAGTCAGTCTCACGTCCTTTCTCTGTGATGTCTGTGTGAAGATACTTATGATGCTGAGGGAGGGGGAAGGTGGAGGGTTGTCACAACTTCCTGCCCTCTCACGATGTAGTACCATGCTGCTGTGGCCAATTGTCAGGTTTGAAGTGATTGTAAACATTAGACATTAAATATGAACGAAGCATATCCTCTATAGTGTGTACTTGTCTCAATCCAGAGCACTGAGTTATTTGTCTGCTGCTTTGTTCCTCTGTCAGCATGAGTTACTTCTGACATGTTTTCCTGCCACTAAGAGAAAAATGTGTTGGGAAGGACCTCCAGTAGATTGACAGCATCAGCTCTGTTCCTGTGAGCAGTGTGGAGAGGGGTGTGTCTCTTCCCTCCAATCAGCTAATACAGCCCTCCCCATTGAGCTTTGCAGTATGTAATTTCAGCTCTGACCACTTTTTTTTTTTTTTTTTTTTCCCCGGTTAAGAGTTTACAACCACTTTGTGCTGTGACCTGGGTCCAAAATTTGTGTTTACAACCACTTTGTTTTTTTTTTTTTTTTTTTTTTTTTTTAATTTATTTTTAGACAGCCTGATTGTACCAGTTTTTTCCTAATGCGTCTGATGTGCAGTGACACCTAGGTGGAGCTAACACCATCAATTTAACGGTTTCTAAAAAATTACATTCACGGGAATGCTGTCACACTTTTTGCTTTCAACCAAACTGTGAAATCATCAAATGGCTGTAGTCATAACTGATCACATGTGCAGCACCAAGACAGTTGCAGATCAGAGGCTAAAATAGCAGCTTCCTTGAATGAAAAGGACTGGAAAATTTATTTCCACTTTTTAAATGGCTACAATCCCTTTTACACCCTATTCAAAACAAAAAATATTTGGGCTATCCCACTTTAAGGCCTTGTTCACACCATATGTGCAGAAAAACTGATGGAAACTGACAAAGTTTTCATGAACATATTAATTTTATAAACGTTGCAGATTCCTGTGCAGAAACAATCTGCACTTGATAGTAGTGTTGTGTGTACAGAGCACATACAGGACAATTGATTTTGTTGTACGCTTGCAGAACATGTGCAGAAAGACTGACATCGATGCACCTTGGTGTGAATGAGCCCTTAAAAAAAGGTCACATGCCTTAACTTGTTGAGTCATAATTTGTTTCAAAATATTTTACTTTTTGATATTCATATTGCTTTATATTTTGCCAGGTGACTGAATTAAATGACCCTCTTTCAAATGAGGAAAGGAACCTGTTGTCGGTTGCATACAAGAATGTTGTTGGAGCCCGTCGCTCATCATGGCGAGTGATCAGCAGCATTGAGCAGAAGACATCTGCTGATGGCAATGAAAAGAAAATAGAAATGGTCCGTGCCTACCGTGAAAAAATTGAAAAAGAATTGGAAGCAGTGTGTCAGGATGTGTTGAGCCTCTTAGATAATTTCCTAATCAAAAATTGTAGTGAAACACAGTATGAAAGCAAAGTGTTTTACTTGAAAATGAAAGGCGATTATTACCGATACTTGGCGGAAGTTGCCACTGGTGAAAAGAGAGCAGCAGTGGTTGAATCTTCAGAGAAAGCTTACAGTGAGGCTCATGAGATTAGCAAGGAACACATGCAACCTACTCATCCTATACGGCTGGGCTTGGCACTCAACTATTCTGTGTTCTATTATGAGATCCAAAATGCCCCTGAACAGGCTTGCCATCTGGCCAAGACAGCCTTTGACGATGCTATTGCAGAGCTGGATACCCTAAATGAGGACTCTTACAAGGACTCTACACTTATCATGCAACTCCTACGTGACAACCTAACACTCTGGACAAGTGATCAGCAAGACGATGATGGTGGAGAAGGGAATAATTAAAACCACCTGATGGACTGGCAGCCGCACGCTGATGCTACTACCGCAGTCTTTATTTTTTTTCCCACAAGTGGGGGGTTGAGGGTGGGGGAGGGCAAGGAAGGGACAACCTCCCCAGGGAAGACCCTACCACCTGTCTTTGATTGCCTCTTCGACATTTTGCCAAAACACCACGAGTGGAAAGTTAGACTGGCTGTGCTAGTATGGAATGGCAGCCTAACACTGGCACATGGACTGTTCTGTAGTTAATAAAAGTGGAGCTGTTTTTATTTTAAGTTATCGCTAGAAATATTTAGAAAGAGATTTAAGAATAGGAATAACTTGAATGGAATGCCTTTTTAATAGTTTTGTGGTTCCAGTAAGTTATTTTATATTTATATTTTTAGCTGTATGCACGTCTTGCCCTTCATGCTTTATTCATATTTATTTAGTGTGTGTGTTGTGTACTTTGTGCACTGCACCTATTTAAAACTTAATTTACACAGAATTCTACAGCCACAATAAAATATCCTGACTAACCTAATCTTCACTCTGCCAGCAATAGAATAACCTAAAAGTACTTAAATTGGTAATCGGTAAGATTGCTTCTTTCAGAAAATATTTTCCATTAACTATTGATGACATTGGGTATAGATCTAGTAACTTATGAGTTCACAGTAAAAGTCAGATGGACTTTAAATCTCTCTTCTATCTAGCGTGACGCATACAATTTAGGTGTTCTTGCAGTCATACAACAGTATAGTTTTCATAGTGGTGTTTTTTGTTTTTTTTTTTGTTTTTTTTTTTTCTGCTAATTTATTCTTGCTCAACCATAGCATGGTTGATGGCTGCCCTATAAATCTTTAAAGAATCTGAAATTGCATCAGAGTTTAAAAAAAAAAAAAAAAAAATCTGTACTGAGATGTAGGAATGAGTGCCTCAGGTAATATTCGGTCCTGCATTATTGTGGGGCACAGAAAAAGAAAATAACCCCCCCACTCCATCCTCCACTTCTAAATGAAGAAAAGTTTGTAAAAATAGTCTGCAGTGTACTTTTTTTTGTTGGAGTATCCTAGAGCATTTAACTGTAGAATTTTAAACACTATAGTGTTTTGTTTCCTTGGCTACATTTTTGCTATAAATTACCAGGAAGGTAATACATTGGCTGTTGGTTTTAATAGATTTGAATATTACACATGAATAGAATAAAATATACTTGTAAAGGTTATGTATCAAAAAAATGTAAACCTTATTCCCACTAATCCTTTAACAAAGGAATCCCCAACCAATTGGATGAATTTTTAATTTTTGTTAGGGTTTCATTGCATCATCTGCTATGTGGAAGGGTAGTTAATCTCGCATTTTACCATGCATTGTGTCTTTTGGCATGCATTAAATGGATAACTCCTGTTAGAAACCTGCTTTATGTAATCTTCTGGTTTGATACTTGCAACCAAAGTTCTAAACGTTCTAGTTTAGAAGTATTTAAAAGGAAACTGTATAGGAAGATTTTTTTTTTTTTTTACATATATATCATTTTTAAGCCATAGGTAACTACAGGACATGTGACAAAATTTTAGCTGATGCAACTTTCATTCAGACTTAATGAGTTATGCTTACTATATACAAGTATTGAAGCCAATATTTGATTTAGATACCTAAATGAGTTTATTACTCCCTAGTATGAATTGGCTAATCAGATTGCTAATTTACAGTTTTTCCTTTCTGTCCCCTAATGTCTATCCAGTGATCAGTGTTAAATTTACTTGTCCCGTGTGGAAGTAATTTACTGGAATTACATGAACTATTTCCTTTTCTTGGCTGCTATAAAACCTTAAAGACTTTCAGAGGGCTCCAATGCTAGGAATGATGAGTAGGTTCTAAGCAGCATTTTTTTATTGCACTTGCCTATTTAACAGTTTTTCCAATGAAATGACTATCGCTGCATTAATCTCAATACAATATTGTGCATGCTAGTGTTGTATTTCTATAACGTAGCTTGAAATTAAATTATACAATAGATGTTATGTATTCCTATGGCAAGCCAACTACTCTTCAATTTCATTGCCTTTATTTTAAGAAGCAAAAACTATTTTCTCCATTGGAAAGCAAGGGTTAAAGGTAGACTATGTTCTACAGAGCTGTAATCACTTATTGGTCTGTAATGGATGTTGCTATTGTGACATGCAGATATATAATTTTGATCTAAAAAGAAAAAAAAAAGAAATACTAATAAAAAAGAATAAAAAAATTAAAAAATATAAAAAAAATAAAAAATTGGGCAGACGGGGTGTGGGAGGGATCCTAAACACCAGTTTTAGCCTAACCTCAAAGTCTGGTGTTAGTCATGGTGAAATTCTAATTATTAACGTGTAGGACAATTGCTGTTTTTGAATAAGCCTATGTTTGTGCTTCTTTGTCATTGTAATGCAGTGAATTATTTAAGGTCAGATCAGTGGATTATCATTTTTGTTTCATTTTTATTTTTAAACAAACTCCGTGTTTCAGTACAGATTTTTTTTTTTTTAATTTTATTTTGGCACACGGACCATTTCTAGCAGTTTTCCTCAGTGATGGAATATCATGAATGTGATTCATTATGTAACTGTCGCACATTGAGCAAATAAACTTACAGATCTGATGTGGGTGCTGCTTCAAAGCAATGTGTGGTGTTTTCCTTCACAGTCTTATGTGGTCTCGTCAGACTTGCCCTTTTTGAACCCTTATGCATTCCTCCCCAAATCTTTCTTGTGCCTGTGCAGTAGTTTTCATAGGTTTCTATAGGACCCTATAGGAAGTTACTGCTGAATGTTGTCAGTGCACATAAGATCTCCAGTGGTATGTAAACAAACCCAGGCGTCCAGAGCAAGTATGCATCTGGGGGGGAGAGGGGCTAGGTAACTACATTGGAGAATAGATATACTTTGAAAGAGATATACTTTAGGGCTCATTCACACTTTGTGCGGTGACCTGTTTACCAGACTGTAAAACACGGGTCACCACAAGGACATGCAGAAAACTATTTTCTGTGTTTTATTTACACTATAGTGCAGCCTGGAGCTGCCCTGCAAATCCGCTTGCAAGCTGCTTTTTATTATAGCTTGTGTTTAAATTTAAAATGAGGCTTTGTTGTGTTTAAAGCCACTTGATCATTTCTACATGGTGGCAAGGCAACTGCCATTTTTCTTCCATAAGAATTTTATTAAAGCGGTATCAAGTGTCTAAAAACGCTAAACATTGCATAATGAGCATATGAATCACAAATACAGAAGCCAAAACGGAAATAAAAATTTGGTACATCAATTTCAGATTCAAAGATGAAAACAAAGGTCCAAAAAACATCCTACGTGAATATACGCTTCAGATTTTATTTACAGTTAATGCACACAGTGAGCTACTGCCATTATTTTATTGGTTCGCTGTGTCCAGAAAATATATACTTTAAGAAAATTTTGATGTGAAAAACGGATTTTAGCCTGTGTTTAAAATGATGGGGGGGGGGGGGTCAGGCAGTAAAACGTTGAGACCTAATTTGAGATGGAAACCATATAGGGACTGCCGTTTCATTAGGACAAAATATTTCCTCGCAGTTAGTAGGTTGATCTTTGGATGAAACCGTAAATGTTAACACATTGATATATTCATTAATGTAGTGACCTCATTGATCATGGTAAATGTAGTGACCTCATTGATCATGGTAAACCAGTTATGCAACAGCGCACAAGTCTTGCCTATAGAGATTTTGTTAAATTGACTAATGATTGTTGTTGTGTAAAGTTTTTTTTTTTTTTTTTTTTTTTTCTTTTCCAAAAAAGTTTTAATTTTAGGACTACCTGTCTGATAACATTGAGTGAACATGCAGCTTATGATTTAAAGTGGTACTAAACCTGCCTATCATTGACAGCTACGGATGGTTCCATTTTTGGCTTCTATTTACACCTGCAGTTGATGTAGTACTTAGTTATGACACCAGCCATTTGAGTGCTTAAAAGTTAAGAGCTGACCTTGTATTGGCAACTGTGACAGTGGTAAGCAGAGGCATGCTTTGAATGTAAGTGTTCAGGGAAATGGTTAAATTGAGTTCGTGCCTGCTTTATGAGCTCTTCCTACATCCTAAAGTAGAACTGGAGGTCTTGCTTCATTAGACAAAAAAGAAACCACTAATTTAGTGAAATGTATGTTTTAGATTTAAAAAAAAATTCAAGATCCCTCACATACACAGGTGGCGCTAGAATGCATGTATGTACATGAACACGTATAACAGTTTTTGGGTGTGCCTGAGCATAGTGGACGAAAAAAAAATGAACCTAGGGCTGTAATTTAACATTGGCTATAAATAAGCTGTAACAGTTAGTGTTGACAGTTTTGGGTATTGTAGATTTGTGTCACTTGTTTGTAAATGAAAATCCCAGTACATCAGCAGTTTTTGAAATACTCAGACCAGCTTGTCTGGCACCAACTACCGTGCCACGTTCAGTCACTTAAATCCCCTTTGTTACCCATTCTGATGCTTTGTTTGAACTTAAGCAAGTTGTCTTCACCATGGCTAGATGCCTAAATGCATTGCGTTGCTGCCATGTGTTTGGCCTGATTAGCAATTTGTGTTACCAAGCAATTGAACAGGTGTACCTAAAAGTGGCCGGTGAGTGTATATACAGTGGGCATAGAAAAGAATTGCATTAAAATCATTTAGCTTTTCAGTCTGAAATGAACACCATTTTTTGTTCTATCAGCTGTATTTACTCAGTACAACTTAAAACATCCAAGTGAAAGATCTGACACCAACATGTCAAATTTTTTTAAAACAATCACGGAGTTGGAAAAAGGATCACCCCTTTGTGTCAGTATTTTGTTGAACAAACACTTTGCTTGAATTGCAGCTTTTAGTCTGTTGGGATGTCTTTGCCAACTTTTCACATCTGGACTTTGCAATATTTGCACACTGTTTTTTTGTTGGGGTTTTTTTTTTTTTTTCCAGAACTGCTCAAGTTCAGTTCAGTCTGATGGTGACTGGACTGCAGTCT